ATCCAATCATGGACCAAAGCAAAGTGAAGGTAAATTAAATGTTATATATTGTATCCGGCAAGCAATCACCATACTTGCATTCTCATTGCCCTCAACAGCACCTGCATTCTTTGATCACAGTCCTTTTAAGTGCTATGCTGTATACAAAAGACCAAGCCAGCAATTAGCTGTTCTAGCACTGGGTCCTGAAATGACTACAAATGCTTCAGCCCTTTAATGAATCCTTAAATAGAAGGAAGTTGCAAGTAAAGTTCAGCTTGTGTATTTTATGCCAGGTTCCCATAGCATTATAGGTTCTTAGAACTTAATTAATGGCACTTGCATCCTGTATGCCTTCCAGAGTTTTAGTGGAAACTTTAGTGGTCACTTCAAACTCTGACATCCTTTGGACTGTTGTCTTCAGCACACTGGGCAATATCACCAGTCTCTGGTAGAAAATACACGATTTGCTATTAATCATGACTCATCCATATGAATGGGAGGGACAAAGGAAGCATCATTCACTAGTCATCATTCTCATACTTCCACTGAAATCCTTTGTTTTGTATAGTAACCAAAATGGGGGATGAAAATGAAAACCATGGCCTAATATACCAGCATTTGGGAACTCTGCCAATGCCCCAATTAAAATTCTGTACTAATCTCTTCAGGGAATCCAAGAAATTCTTTCAGAAAATGGAACATTCTGCTAAGCATATCCAACTATTTATCCTATAAGAGTGAATATAAAGGAGATTGTATACGATCAGACAGAGGTCAGTAGAGTGAAAAACAGTGTGCATGCTACAGGAAATGAGTCATGTATGAACAAAACTACTGGAATTCCTTCTTGAACCCTAATTCATACAACATGTAATTTGGCTAGTCCTGGTCTAAAGATCATTAACTTATTGGAAAGACTTCATTAGTTTTAGTGGGTTTTAATCAGCTCCCAAAACAGGAGAATATAAAATAGGTATTTCAAATTACAAGATATGCCATCATGTCCTTTCCCTTCTTGTCCTTTTCTTATAACATCATTAAAGAGCTTGATGAGAGTGGTTTCAGATGAATGAGACATGTAGAGCCTGGATTGGGGAGGATCTAGAACAGCATCTCTAATACTGGTTTATAGGCAATACACAACATATTTGTTGCTGTTAGAGATGCAATTAGAGATGAAAGGAAGGAAAGAGCTGGCAATTAGTTGGTAACTTAAGAGGGAAGATATTCTGATCAGTAAGTATTTTTAAGAAGGTAAAGATGAAAGCTACTTTTATTGTCCAAAAAAAAAAAAAAAAGGCCAAAGTGAAAGGAGGGGAGAAGTAGGGTATATATGTGAGAAGCAGAGGTAACTAGAAGGTAAACAGAGAGAGCAAGTGGTCAAGAGTAAACCATAGAGATCTTACAAAGGAGAAGGCACTAGGAGGGAACTCTGAAAGATGAATCTAAGCTGGCCTTGCAATGAGTAAATCTGCCTAGCTGTGCTGCTGAGCTTTTTAGGTCAAATGATCCTATCCTGAGTTCAAGTTATTGAAATCCAAGGCTTTTGTTTGGCCAACGTGGAGCTACAGGGTTTAATCCTTCATTACCTTGCTCTTTACATGGCCTCTGAATTTCATGCAAATTGTCTGAGGACAGCCAAAGGGAAGTGGAAACACAAGTATGTATGGCATCCAGCCTTTGCAAGGGACTCAGCTCCCTTGGCTAATTCTCCAAAATAAGCCAGATCTGCAGTGAACCCAAACAGGATTTTAGGTCCAATCCACTTCTCATTTGAACAGCCTTCCCTCTTCTTCCCTGCTTAGAAACTTACCAAACTTCCTCTCTCCTTTTCTTTTCTAAAGGATCTTTCTGTGACTAAGCCATTTATATGTCTATATTACATGTAATTCTCTGATGTCAGATGAGATAACAGAGATAATCCTCCTAAAGGATTTGTGGCATTATAGATTACAGCTTCCATTTGTATGTTGTGTGCATTGCCTTCAAGAGGCCTTGAGCAATGGTAAAAGATCCTTGTATTCAGATTAAAAAATATCTGCATTCAACGCAGCCTTATTATAGGTTTAGAAATACCAACAACCCAACTAAGTGACCAGCTGTTCAGATCCTGCTGTTCTCTTAATCCATGCAAAGGTAAAATACTATTGTGGTCAATGGGAGCCTTGCCAAGGTAACAATATTTTCCTTGTGTTTCTTCACCTGCATTTTCACTATAAAGGGATCACTTAGAAAACAGAACAATTTATTCCATAAACAAGTCATCTTTGCTTCACCATAGTGTGTCCAAGTCAGAGTAAGTACCTACTTATTGTGCCCTTTTTTGTTCATTTGTTTTTGAAATTTCAACCCCTGTTGGCATAAACAAATGGGAATCTCAGCATTTGGTTTCTTTTATTGCTCAAGGGTGGCTTAGACACTGAGATACTTTTGTAGACCTGCCTAAGTGTGCTGCATCTATATGAGGGTGCCCTCACTGAGGCTCTGTCAGGAAAAAGTTGAACAGTTACGGTTGAAATCCAGAACCCAGTTTCTCCATAGGAATGTGCAATTAATAATTCCAGAATGTGATAATCACTAAGAAGATCTTTAGTTGCATATCCTGCTCTGTAATGTTAGCTCCTCTGGTGAGGGAACTAAAAAAAATTGTGAAACACAGAAGAGCTATGCTCAGCAGTCTCACAATATGACTATTCTGATACACAGCCAATTCTAGCTCCCAAGCTCAGAAGGCCACATAGCTGATCTCAGTTACACTAGATGGTGTGAAACAATATTCACACAATAGCTTATCCTGTTTAGCACCTGTAGAATATTCCTAGAAGGAACACAGCTAATGATAAATTTGGGTGAAATTAACATAGATATCATGTACAGTATACTTTTGCTTAATTATTAGAGTATTTACATTCTATTGAAGCCTGCAATTATCATTTTTTAATTTCATCTCCTGTGAGAACATTCAGTAGAGTGGGAAAAATGTATGTGTTTGCTCTCCAACAACGATACATCAATCTCTATAGGAGAAATCTGTTTTTTAGTGTCACTCATCATTTTGCCTGCTGCACTTGTTCTTCTGAATATACCAGTAATGTTCAACTAACAGCAACCGTTTCTAGTTTGGAACAAAGATCCACACCTTCAGAGAAGTTTAGGCACTTCCTGCCTAAGCTACTTTGAAAGAGCCTAATTCTGGTACGTACAAGCAGGCATACGTCTAATGGAAACAGACCTCTTGCAGCTTGTGTCTTTGTGATTTAAGAAGTTACAGATCTCAGCTGTTTCTTGAGCTGACTCCCCTGGCTCTGTTGAAATCACCACTGTGACAGCCAAGATGAAGTAGCTGACTCTGTGAGCATTCCTAGTCCTTTCCAATCCACAGCAAAACTCCCTAGCTGAAATCAGCACTGACGGGAACTAACTTCTTAAACAGGCTTGAACTTGATCTCTGTGAGCACATCCGACTGTGCCCGGCATTGTCTAGTTCAGCTTGGAGTTGGAGCATGTACCCTATTAGCAGCAGCAGCAGCTCTACCTCAGTCAGCAGCTGGCAGATGGGTCCTTGGGGACTCTTCTCGCCAAGGCTAGTGCAGCCCTATGTCTGCTTCAATATATTCTCTGTGTGCAAAGCAGGACACATCTCCTTGCAAATGTTGTTATGGCACTACGGGTGTCACTGATAGCAGGAAAGAGACAGTGCTTGGGAGATGGACATGTTCAAACATAATTCCAGTCTTTTTATATACTCTGATTAAAGCTCCTAACTTAGAACTGCCGTCATGTTGTTGCTACTTACTTCAAGTGCACAGAGAATATCTCAAATCCTTTTAAACCATTCTTCAAAGGTTGAACTGAATTGTGTTTGAGTCCTTGAATATGCTGGGTTTGTGACACTCTCTTAAACGATACTTAACATAGATTCTGGTTTATCTGTAGTCAAGTACATATAGATCTATACTGGTACATTCACACTACCCATCTTTTCAGCTTCTATATACATTTTCACTATTAGCGCCATTCAGCTTCTCCACTATATTTCCAGGACATAACTTCACTGTTGTCAACAATACTTAGCCCTTGACTTCCGAGCAGTATTTCTCTGGCAGTTGTAGGCAAGCCTGTTAGACAACCAAGAAATTTAAAACAAAGAAAAACTGTTAAAAGGAGGATATGCGGCAGGTAGAAGAGCAAGTGGAACTAATAGACCAAAGGCCTGAGGAAAAGAAATAGAAGATGAGAATAAAAATAGCAACATTCAGAAAGCATGGGAGGCAGCAGCATTAGCTGCTATTACTAGGGAGAGTGCTCAGATCAACTGGAAGTTCATCTGTTGTGGAAGTTCATCTGTTGCATAAGAACATAAGTAGCCAGGGCCAAATCTCTCAGCTCCCCACGTTCAAAAAATGATACACAATTAAGTATAAACGAAAAAAAGTAGGAAATAATGAAAGGGATTAATTACATAAAACTGGATGCCTCTTTTAGATGCCTTAATTCCCTCCAACAGGACTTTGTGCTACATCTACCTTCCCCGTGCCACTATCTCAGATAACTTAGATCTCCCCCTTTAGGCTACTGAACTCTATCCACTATGTTCTGTTTTAGGCCTTGACCCCATGCTGTCCATCCTGGGGGAATATGAATGGTAACAATCTCCACCCAGAAAACAACTCTATCCAGCTTGAGTTACAGCTTGACTTACATCAGTTCTGTACAACCCAGGGTGTACCCATAGTCCATTGACAGATCTAACCCAAGATAATGGATGGTTCGGTTCTCTGGATGGCTCAACCATGTGGCCACTTGTAATAGCTTACAGCCTTCTCCGTTCCGTGTCACATGTTGAATAAAAAGCCCATTCAGCTGAGCACTGTCATTTCTCATATGTGCAGCTGTAGAACCCAAAAGAAACAGCATAACCCATCGCCAGGCATTCCCGTTACCATAACCACACGACTGAAGCTTTGCTGTAGCACAGCCTTTTCTCCTTATGCATCCATCTGTTTTTCACCTGGTCGCTTCCAGATGCTGCTCTTCCTCATCCAAGCTCTCAAGTGGCCATGACAGGAAGCCTGAGGAGATGAGATAGAAGCACCTACAGCAAATAAATAAACCAATAAAGCAATAAAAAGACAAAGTGAGAGAACAAGGGGGACATGAGCTGTACAGAGGCTTGAAGGCCAGCCCATAGAGTCACTCAGTCTAGACTCCAGATGTGAAAGCAGAGCCTCAGTGAGTACAACACGGGACTCCGTAAATATCTCAGCCAGATGTCTCAGGGCCCAAGCTACAAATCCTCACAAATGGTGACAGAGTTGGCTGTTGATGTTTGTAAAGCTCTGCTTCCAAGAGAATCAGTGGTCATTCAGTCAGCAGCAGTTCATTTTTGCTGCCAGATGGGAGAGAAACTCAGGCTCTGAGTTGCAGTTAGTCTCATAGCAAACTCAGCAGTCTATGGATGGGTCATGGAGCCCTCTGTGAGTACTGAGGTTAGCTTGGAAAGACATGAAAAGATTATGAGAAACATAAAAGCACATGATTCTAAACTTACAAAGAGCTTAAAGTAACTGGCTACCTTTTTTGGTGTTTGTATTCATATTTACATCTTCAAGACCCTTTCCATTTGATAGCTGAGCCTCTGGATGCCTAACATTACACAGCAGAAGTACCTTACATTTCTGGAGATGTCGGTTATACTGGCTGTAAGAAACTTGATGATTTTATTCGCCATTTAACAAACTAAGGATTACTTTGCTTATCTTACATTTTCCCAGAACATTCCTACTAGACAAGATGCCTCACAGAAAGTGACTTGCCCACTTTTGGGTCTACCGGAAGCTGTATCCATGCCCTGTGAGACTAGAGACTGGATTCTGCTCCCTACTCTACCCAGCTTAGAGCAGAGAATAGAACTTGTTTCTCTCAGGAAGCTTTTCTACTGGGCTATAGTGTATTTTAAACTAAAGCTTTCCCAGTCTGTTGAATTCATCCTATTCTCCCTAAAATATTTAAGTATTTATGGCAGAAGGGGCTAGGACCCGTGTCTCTGCAGTGAAAGTCTTTATATAATCCACTCTGTCACTGGCCTCATTTAGGAAATATCTATTTATGACCCGAAACTTGTTCAGCGTGTCACCCAAAATTGGAACCGGTTGAATAATTTATGAGATGATTTGCAGGCAAAAGCCCTGAGTTGGGTTACTCTGATTCACAGGGGTAACATTATTTATGACTTTTTGTTCAGATATAATGCATGAACATGTTTTAGTGTGGCCAGTAATTGTCCCAAGATTTGCACCAGGATTTTTTTGTTTCCCCATTTTACAGTGCCAGTAGCAAAGGGACTGATACAACATAAAAGATAGTTTTTAAATGAAACAGCCCAGAAAAATCAGATAAGAAGACATGTGCTACCTGTGCAGTTATACCTTGAGCTATGGCCCACTGGAAAAGAGTTTCTAAAAAGGTCATAGTTTCTCTTTCCTCATAATACCTAGACTCCCAGAGACAACCTGGAGTGAAAGAAGACTAGGATAAGTTACTGCATTACTTGGCAATTGCTCCAGGCTAAGACCTCATACATGAGCGACAGCTGATGCAGGATGACTAGTTAAGCTGCAGAGGCAAATCACTTGGGACTCTGAGTGCTAACCAAGAGGCTGTTTTTTTTTTCGCTTAAGTCCTGAAGGAAGTCAGACATCTGCTAGAAGACATTGTGAAAAATACTGGGCTACCATCATGTTGTAGTTCCTTTGAAGGTTGCAGGGGCTAACTCTGATTTACACCTATATCGTATCTGACATTCAAACCGTAGTTGGAATCCATTTAGTTCTAAACAAGATATTGCCAGAATGGCTATGGTTGGCCCTGGGTCTGTACTGATTTATCTGAACTGAAAGGTGTATGGTTTTAAGGTTAATTCATTTACCTTCCTATCCTGAACATGACCCCACAAAATGTGGCACAAAAAGAGCTGTGCTGTGCCCTTGCATCCTTTTCCTTATTATTCTGCACTTTCCCAAGAAAAAAAGGCATTGAACATAATGGTCTAAATAAGAGTTAACTTCAAGATCTAAACAAGTACATTGAGCAATTTATTCAGAGCACATCATACTGTTCTTCCACTTGTTTGGTAATGAATAAACAGCATCACCATGGCTGAAAGCTAAAGGGGATATTTCTCCAGGTCCCTTAGGCTGACTTGTCCAGCAACTGTGTTGGCAGTTTGGAGCTTTTCCCAGGATATTCTATGGCCAGGGATGCCACAGGCCATTTTATTAAATGTCAATGCCCATCACTGTTTTTTTTTTTTAAAAAAAAAGAAAAAAGAAAAAAGAGTATTTTTTCTCTTGTGTGACATCAAAAGAGCATCTATTTAAAGGTCTTTTTAGAGAGGATCCTTTCTTTATGAAGGAAACAGCACAAAAGAAATGGACATGCAACCCTACCATTCACCATTTTGCTATCTCCCAGGATAAGAAAGTCATTGCCCTCAGCTCCGCATCAGTGTAGTAACTCTTCCTCCAGCACAGGCCCAGAACTCACCTCAGATACAGAGATGACAACTCCAGTGGGTAAATAGTTAATCAGCAAGTAGAGAGGAATGTAAGATAAGTGAAGCTTTTCCCATTACTGTACAGATCTCAGAGAGGTGAGAATCATGCAGACAAGTAAACAAAAAATAATAATAAAAAAGGTGCTCAAGTACAACTTTGAAGAATGTGCAGAAATTCCAAAATCTCTATCTCTGTCCCTGACAAAATCATAGTTCCTCCAAATAACAGACCTCAGCACCTTCCTCACTTTGAAAGATCACACTTTTCCATTCATGCAAACATGAAGTTACTTGTTAGACTCTAAGCTGCATTTGTCAATGCCTGTGGCTTTATTAAACTTTGGGAAGACATGGTGAACCATTTTCAGGGAATTGGTCCTTCACTTACTCTCCAGCCCTCAAAGAAGACCTTTTAAATTCCTTTCTGTTTTGTAAAGTGCTGTCAACACAGTGCAGTTTATTGTAAATACACAATAATAACAATTGTGCACATTCAGCTCTGATTCAATTCCCATGTAAATTTATGTTAATATGTACGCAGATTAACCCTGCTCCCCTTGGTCCTGGGAAGTTGTCAGACTGACATACAGGTTCTGAAAAGGTTGTGTACCACTGATCAGCATTTTTCTATAGAATTCAATAATTGATAAACCAACTACACAGAGACCTTGGATATTTCAAACAATTTTTCTACGTAGTATTCAGTAGCCACTAAAGCCATGGCTTGCGATTATGGCTTCCTCCTCCTTCTTTCTGGCTAAATTAAGGCAGTCTTTAAAAGAGAACAAAATGACACATGCATTTTATTCTCTTCCTCTTAGTCTTCCTTTTCTCTGTTTTTATACAGAATACACTCACTTTCCTACTGCGTGGGCAGGCAGAGCTGTTCTGAGCACCCAACTCACACCAGTGATGAGGTAGCTGGAAGGCCACAGTTGTTCTCTGACGTTCTGCCAGGGATGTTTGGCTATGACACTTTCTGGTACTTTGCAGTAAATAGAAACTAATCTTTAGTTCATTCCATTGCTGATTCCCTGTAAGGCTTCCAGGCACTTCTTAAATAATCACAGCAGGACCTAAATGGGACTGTGAGAGATACATGGGCTCTTTGCACAGGGATGAACTTCCAGTAATCCAAAGGGGATGGGGAAACTGCTATCAGAAACAAAGTGTGCCACAAGAGCTGGCTAGGAAGGTACAATAGACAACAGAAGTCCACTTGCCAGAAAGTATTTTTACTTCACAGCTGAGGACTTGATCTTGACCTTTGATACATAAAACAGATTTGCTCTGCAGCTGGAAGTTCAGTTGAAGCATTTGTGTTTGGAGGTAAGATTGTGCCCAGCACTGATAAATCTGGGAGCTGAGTCAGCTGTTGTGAAGCAAGGCAGCAACCTCCTGACCAAAATCAGATACCACTCTATGTTCTCTCTAACAACGCTTAATGGGCTGGGAAGGCCAGTGATTTTGGAGAAAGACAAGTAAGAACAGGATAACTGTACCCCACACAGTGATAAGAAACTTCAGTCATCAATTCTATTCAAGCTTGTCATATGGCTTTAAGACTGACACTGAGACAAATCCTTTCCTCTGTAAGCTCCTCTTACTTGACTCTGTTTTAGAGTGTTATTTCACTCTGCTTTTTAAATCTCATTTTATCGAAGGCAATCTTAGCCCCAAGAGCAAAACAAGTAAAATAAAAGCAATTAAAGCCTGGAAGGAATCTGTATTTTTCCTTTGAAATAGAGCCCATGTCAGACAGCTTTCACATACCTTGTTCTGTGCAGGTTCCATTACAGCATCCCACCAGGCCCATTCAAACCAGGTTGCAGAAATACTGTGGCTGGGATCCAACACTGCCTTTCTTCCTGCAATAGCTGTTTGTGGTGATTTCATCTCAATCATTTTTGCTCTCTTTCCACCTCTCATGCAGCTGCTTGCCTGTCTTGATAGGACCAAAGTGTAGCTCAAGGAATCTATATGATAATCACAAAAATAGTTATTTCTTCTGAAAAATGGATTTAATTCCCCCTCTAAACCTTTGTGAATTGCCAACTGGGGGTGTGAAACCAGCTGGCAAAAGATGCATTCATTTCAATTTCAGGACTCTCATATACTGCAGCTTCCTGACTTAAAATGGTTCCTTCTCTGTCTAATGACAGCACCAAGGCCTTGAGTAACAGCCCTTGTTTCAAACAAAGTTTTAAAGTAGCTTCTTTCTATGGCAACTTCTCTGGGGAAGTTTGACAGCTTGCTCAACCCATGGCAACCTAATGCCTCTTCTTTCACAGCACGAGCATTTGTCAGAGAAGCTAAGAGTCAGACTTGGTGAAGACTTGTATCCTTCAGTAAGTATGTGCAAGTAAGTGGCACGAAGCGTGGGAAGGAAGCTTTGCTGGTAAAACAGTGAAAAACTAATGCCATCAGTGTTTTCAGAACATAAAGGCTTGAAATGGACTTTGCTTATTTTTTGAATCTCCCCCTCTTTTTCTTATAAAATTATTTTTAAATGAAACAAAATACATCTTTATTTGCCGAAAACATTGTCTTACGTACATTGTTTATAGGTCAAAAAAGGATTTTGGAGAGGATGGATGAATAGGGGAGGAAAACATGATATAGAGAAGAAAACCTTACATCTCTTTACAGTTAATCACACAGAAGAGAAAAGCTCTTTCATGAGAAAGAGTAAATAATGTCAGGTAAAGTCAGCTAGGTCAGAGCTTCCAAAAGTTATGCTGAATAAAGGCTTGGATGAATAATGAAATCAAAGGTGTCATCCATGGAAAAATACTATTTGCTTGCAGACTCTAGCCTTTCAGACTTCTCAATCTGTCCACTTAATCAGTAAAAGTCTTCAAAAGACGTTAGATGAGGGCCTTTCACAGTAACTGAGTCTTTGATTCTGGAGTTACAGAAATTTTAAGTAGGCTGTATGAGCAACCTTGCCTGAAAAATACTGTAGTATATATCCCTTTTGGCCAGAGTCCAAGGTCACTTTGTGACCTTGCCTCCTTTTCACTGTTCTCCCTTGGGAGACAGGAAAAATGCAAGGCCCTTTCAGTCAAGCCTGCTAAAACTATTGGAGGTGTATGTCTAAACTGCAGTCATGTGGTGGCTGCTGTGTCATGTAGCATAGCTCACACCTTGAGCTATCTGCAAACCAACAGAAATGCAGCAATGTCAGCACACAGCTCAGCAGGCCTACTGAAAAGGTAAGGTTAATTAGTCTCTGTTGAGTACTAATGGTGCCATAACCTGATTGTTACTAGCATTTCAACTAGCTTAAACCTCCCTAGATGTTTCTGTACCATCACTGTGGCTGCTACATGTGGGAAAAGTCTAGCACTCTGCAACTAACTAGACAAACCCAGAGGATATGACTGAGCTAGGCTTGGACCAGAGTTTTTGTTTAACATTTAAATGAAGTTTTGCTGTTGTTCTGTTTATTTATAACTCTTGGCAGGCAGAAATTTTCATTTACATTCAGCCAAAGCCTGAAAGGAGATACTAAGGCTTGGGAGTGGAAGGAGGATAGAAAAAAAAAAAGAGAGAGAGAGAGAAAAAAATGAGGAAACAACACAAACAACAAAAGCTCTCATGAAGTTGATAGCATCACCAGACTGACAAAGTAAGAAAAAAAGAGTCAAAAATTCCAGGCATAGAATTCAGAAACCGCAGCTCTCTTCCCAGGAAGGAACACACTGCATCTCATTTCTGCTCTCTCTGCTGATACAATCTACAGAAAATCCATCACCAACTGAAAGAGGGCATTCATTGTCAATGCATTCCGTCACTTTGGTGTCCCAACTTTCATGGGTTTATTATATGCATGGTCAAGGATGTTTCTATGAAAGAGAAAGACCATACAAATTTCTTTATTTTTGCCTTATAGAAACATTAGGAACTCTGAGGCTTTGTACATCTGTTTGCCCCCCTTTATTGCTTTAGATATCAATAAATGCTATAAATTGAGCTCACTACATACTATGGCAAGTATCTCCCTATATACATTTATTCACAAATATGAAAAAGACATTTAACAGTGAACAGCAGAATTTACTGAGAAGTGAGAAAATTAGCATATTCAGAAACAGGAAAAAACTAAAACTTGCTTAATAAATAAATATTAGGTAACTTTCACAATTTCTTCTTCTGTCATAATTCTGTATCCAGGATTACTATTTTTTCCTCTCACCTATCCATTCAGGAAAAAGGAAACTACCCACAGAAAATGACGTCCCTAATTTGTATACAGAGAAGGAATGAAGTCAGAATCAAGCGATGGAAAAGAACAAGGCTTATGCAAAGGCTACATTAGAGCATCAGTCAGAGAATAGTAACATCTGTGGAGCATTCACTTTTGAGCAGGAACTGAAAAGAACAGATAGACCCAAGCTAAGAATGCCAGATTCACAACTCAGTGAAATCACTATGCATATCCCCATCAACTCTAGCTACACTGGAGCTTCGGTCCAATGACAGAGCTTGTTATGATGTTTCTCACTATAACTTCTTATCCTGAAATACCTCTCTCCATATATGTTTTCTTCTAATAGCTATATAGAGCCAAACTTCACCTAAGTGAAGGAGGAGTAGGACTATGAAAGCAGGCCGTGCTTGAAGCCTGATTTAATTGGTCTCCAGCAAATTTGGGATATTTGGTCTCCATCAGATTAGGGGGTGGTGCCAACCCTTCTATCCCTGTGACTTCTTAAGAAAATGGTAGGTGTCAGATAATCTCACAAGACTCCACTCTCTTGATTTCAGCTTACGAATCTCTACAAGAGTGAGTTGTAACAATAGGTTTTCAATACTACCTAGTCAGTGCCAGGCAGAGTGAACTGAAAATATGGAAAATGACATTGCAGTAATCATTACACCTCAAAATAATGAGCATAGAATTATTAGTCTCCTTAAAGACAATAAAAGCAAGAGTCTTCTGGCAGACCTGAGCAGTTGTTGATTGTGAAGTATCCTTCAGTCCTTTCACCTCAACAGCCAAAGTGAAGACAAGCAAATGTGCACTGCATCTTCCCTGAGTGAAAAGCATTCAGCCATTAGCATATAATTAAAGTTCCACTTTGGACTTTGCTACTGCATTTTTGGTCCATTTCAGGCTCAGTACTAGAGATTTTATTTTGTAGTATATTTTTGGTTTACTATTAGTGACAGGGTTGTCATGTGTCATACTCCAAGCTCAAGGTTGTACATACTGTTTCCTTTAGCACATCATTATGTATGCCTTTTAGGATTTAAAAAGAAATACATAAATAAATAATTATACATTCACGGTCAAGCTTTAGGTTCTTTGCCTAGCTTTGGTGGTAAGCAGAGTTTTATAGGTCTGTATCTGCTTAGACATTTGTAATGCACCACAGCTTCCCCCATAGGCAGAAATCATTTTGGTTTTCCTTGGTCAGCGAGGGTGACAGCTTAAGCTGATGGCCTTCACCCTTTTGCTTCACAAGACATTTTTAAGATTGCAATAAAGAGAAAGTATAATTTGTGGTGAAGGAGGCAAGAGGGGAAAGGAGGGAACTAAATAGAGCCTTCTTCACTTCTATAAATCTTTTGGAAGATGTCACTGGAGGGGGGTGTTAGTTAGTGAAACTGGACTTGGTCTACTCCATCTCCCAGCAAATTCAGCGTCTTTGTTTTTTCTGAGAGTTGATTTGTTTTTGTTGGTTTGTCCTGAGCAGAATATCATAATAAGGGTATGATGCGGGATCCCCCGCAGAAGCATCTCTGTCTCAGGGTATATCACAATCTGAACATTTCCTCAAAGACACCAGACACTTTACTTTTACAGTGGAGTGTAGCTTTCTGCAAGAGTCTTAAAAGGCCAGCTGGATGTCATTACATAATTAAGCATACTAGCCAGGATCCTCTGAGGTAGACTTGAGCATGGCAATTTTATCATGTAAGATCAAAACGTTCTTCCTTTCAAAAAATGCAGTGCCATTTGTTGTAATATCTTCCTGCAAGAGATCAAGTATAATATTGACTATTCATTATTATCTGTAAAGAGGTCGATAAGTTTCTGGAATTCAGAAGGTTTCAGGGTCTGAAGGGATATAGGCCCCAGGGCTTGATGACTCATCTGGACCTAAAATTTAGGAATATCACCTGCTGTCTTGATTGTTCATGCTTACTACTTGGCATTTCAAAGCCTCTCTCTCCCCCTTTTCTTCCCCCCAGGCATCAGTCTTACAGACATTGCCAGATCTAGAGATGTGAAGAATATACAAGAAAGAGAAAGTGAGAAGACCATGCATTGGGAGCCCAGCTGGTATGCATCTGCCTTGCTAAGCTTGAATTGAAAATGAGTATCATTATTCTTGTCTTGCATGCATCCTACTGTGTTTAGCTGTTGCATCACACAGAAGAGGCAATGGGCGTATTTTGAGGTTAGCTCCACTGGGCTCAACATGGGTTAACTAATTCCTCAATATCCTAATATAAGGTGGAACTTAGAAACACAGGAGATGATTGTATGTGTCAAACTGATCTTCAGACATGTCCTGAATGGAGAAAGGTTTAGACGAGATTGTGGCTGTCATTATATAGAGACTCTGGCAAAAGTTATCATGCTCTTTATTGACTTAAGAAAAACTCAATGTTGTATTCTAGATACTGTATTAAAAAGTGCCCATTTTATACAACATTGTCTATATGTTATAGAATATAACCTCCAATAATGTTTTTTGGCAGATGGTTAAATATTTAAGTGGTTGGGCACAGATCTAAAAAAAAAAAAAAGTGAGAGAGATAATTAGAAGACTTGAAGCAGTTGTTAATATTTATTAGTCACGAAGAGTTTGACAGATTGGATGTTTTCCTACCCACACAATCTCTAGTAGAAAAAAATAAACCCCTCATCGTTCATTAAATATGAAGCAAGGCCTTATATGAGGGAGAAGTGGACAGCATGGACTTCCTGGAGTTCTCAGTATGAGAGAGTGAGATAAGCAGCTACTACTTAATTCAAGAACCAGAAAGGCCAGAAAAGAAAATGTAAATGAAGACATTTTTCAAATCCTTCCTGTGGTAATGCACAGGGCCCACTCTTGAAATACCCAGAGCTGAAGCCTAAGGACTGATTCTTCTGCCCCACTTCAGCTTTCACTATATACTGTGCTGCCTCTAGCAAAGCTTCAGCATGGTTTTCATCACTGGGGATTATCAGACAGCCCATTTTCTATTAATTCCCTGTTCTATTAGCTCTGATTGTAGGAGTGAAAGTGCCGTGAGCAAAGAAAAAACAGTCGTGGTACTCTAGAATGCATAGGACAAAGCTCATCAAATTATTGGGCAAATGGCTAGAGAGGAGGCCAAGAAGTGACAGATTTCTAAGGCTACTGTAGATGCCAGTTTTGCCAGATGCATTCTCTTTTAAAATTCATGTGCCCAAAACCTGCTGGAAGAGGAGTGTTGGGTCATTTGCCTCTGCTTTATGACTGCCCCACAGAAAGGTCAATACAAGAGTAGTAACTGTGGTTCTCACTAGGCTGCAGATGCCCGGCTGCCCTGCAGCAAGGGCCACAGCTTAGAACTTGCTGTGTTAAATCGGGCCATACAATTGCAGGGAGCCAATAGCCAGCCCACATAGGCAGCAGGTTGGATGAGCTCAGGATAGACTTACTAGGGACATGTGGGCATTGGCACAGCACATACGTGGTAGGCCTAATGTGTTCTCCATCTGCCAGATTCCTGATACACGCAACTGTCAGTGTCTCTGTCCAGACAAATACAGTGCAATGGATGTACACATTACTCAAGCTCAGTAAGGCAGCTATTTGAAACTGTTACCGCCTTCTTTAAGACCAATACTGACACTATCAGTAATTCATGAAAAAGATAAATCAAGTAAAATAAAATAGCATTATTCTTATACTATGTGGCTAGAAAGAGGTGAGGCATCTTCACTCTACCCTAGCCTCCCTTTTCTACTGGATGATCAACATGTGCCACAGTCCCTTGGACTCCTTTCTTTCCAAGGCAAATAGAAAGTACGATAAATCCAAACAAGGCATCTTAGCAACAACAACTGCTCCTATCCACGTGCAGCGCATAGGATTTACTGTGGCAGGCAAGGGGATGAGTGGAAGAGATTTTCATCGGTGTCTACAGAGTGAGGCCCCGAGAAAGGTGGACAGTAATATATGACATACTAACTTACTTGGTACAGACCTTACAAAACTTACAAACAAGTGGGACGAGACCAACCACCCTGGCAGGCTGCTAAACACAGTCCTGATCTGGCCATCAGAATGGCCCTCAAGGGAGGGATCAGACAGGAGCCATCAATGATGACCTGTGGTGAAGCCAGTTAGCTCTCCAAGCAGATGGTCCTTGGAGAAAAGTGATCCCCTGGATAGATATACCCTCCATCCCTATGACCAGAAAAATGAATTGCTGGACCCATTTGAGAGGCATTTTCTTTATCCCAATAAAATCTTTAAGGGCTGTCTCTATGGTATACAAAAGCTTTCCAGCTTTTTTTCCTTATTGCTATTATTTTTGAGAGTTTTTTTTTTTCCCCTCTCAGTGCCTTTTGCTTTTCAGGCAAGAGCAATTCATGCCTTTTTTTTTTTTTTTTTTAAATCTCATTGCTCTAGTGAGAGTCTGTGGAGGACTGGAAAGCTGGTAGGAGTGTAAGATACAATGAATCCACAACCCCTTTTAAATAAAATAAGATTCAGAAAATTCAAGTTTTCTTTTTTTTTTCTTTTTTCTTTTCTTTTTTCTTTTTTTGATTTCATGTTTCCTCTAAAATGCTGAAAAACATGTTCCAGAATATGTCTGTCAGAGTTTCATTACCCTTCCTTTTCAAGGAGGGATCTACAGTCCTTAGCCGTAACAGCAACAGCAAGACCTAGGGCAAACCACAAGACAAGAGAGGAACAGAATCTGGATGTAAAAAAGCCGCAACCTTTTAAAAGCAAATGTCACAAGATTCCTTTACACACCATAAAGAAGCAAAACGGAAATGAACCCACATTGTTTCCTCTTCAAGTCCCCAGAATAAAAAACTGCACCTTAAAAAGGTTTGACCTCAAAACAGGCCACAATGCAAAGATGTGAGGATCTTGGAAACTTGTGCTTTTCCTGGACTGAGGCCCAGATTTTGTAAAATATCTTGCCTGTTACTATTTTTCTTGCTTCTTCCAAAGTAGAAAAAGCTTTTTTGAAGAAACCTGTTTTCTAGAGACTTTGATACAGTAGTATTGGGGTCTTTTTAAATATTTCAAGCTTGATATAGACACAAATAGATGTAAAATTTTCTGGATATGAGCCAACATTGATGGTCTGGATCCAGTTCTTGTTATCAATATGCTGTGAGACACTAGATAGAGCAGTCTGTACACGAACATGTAGAGTATACGCCAGGCCAGGCAGATAATACATATACTTGCTCTGCCTTTATTTTCTTCTGCACAGTTTTAACTAGCAGTGCCTGAAAGAATTTATGCCCAAATTGGTTTTCTGTCTATCTAAACAGGACTATTAGCACACATTGGTAAGTGCACCACACCCAGTTGGTAAAGGAACATTTTTGTTTTTGTTTCAGGCAAGAAGATCTATCAGCAGTTTGATCCAGTGATTGACCATCTGTGGGACAAATACTTTTTCAAGAGCCATTTTGCTGGCCTGGACACAATGCACTTTTGCAAGTCAACCTGCTCTTTGCTCAATAGGCTGAGCTGAAACTGAGGCTACAGGTTAATCTTACAAGAAGAAGCGTGGGGATGGGAAACCATCAGGCACATTCCTTCCTTATTCTTTTTTGATATCTACAGAAGACATAGGCAAATGCATCAGACTTTCCTGTATGTCATCTCATACCAGTTCACTGAAGGCTCTCAGAGCTTTTTACCTTCAGAGCCACTGAGACATAGAAGGTCAGATTAACTTTTATTGCTCCAAATACTTCACTAAGTCCAGCTAGAGGGTGGCCAGCAAGAGAATAATTAAATTTTACTAGTC